TAGGTGTCTTCGGGTCAAATAAAGACAAGGGCGGTAACGATTATTCTGTTAAATCTATGGTACTTGACTACGCAAACGCTAATTGATTAGACACCAAAATGATTTGTTTAAAGAGTTTTCCTTCCCAAGTGCAGCAGCTGCTCTCAGGCTGTGGCAGTTTACCCAGCTTCTCGGGCCTGTGCCTGGGGTCCCTGTGGCTGGTCCGAACCTATCCCGTGGGCCTGAGACACACACACCCACACCCTTCCCCCCTGCAGCGCTGAGCACTTCCACCCTTCAGAGAGAAGAGGATGCACCTCGCACCTTTGGGGTTTCCTCATTTTAAGTTGCTCTGAACTTCAAAAGTTTGACGGACCATGTCCCTTGTCCCTGTCCTGACCAGCCACCAATGCTGCCTCTCTCAATAGCTACCACCCCCTCACTGCTTAACTGTGTCATGTCTAAGGTGGAAACTAAGGCCCAAGGCTGAAAGACTTGGGCTCCCCACCTCCTCCCCAGCCCAGCCCAGGCCCCACTCCAGAGACCCGGACACATTTGTCTCTTTTATCATCTATTTCAGATCAAGCTAAGAAACAAAACTCAGGAGGGGCTGAGTGGGGAAGTTTTATGGGAATTGAGGTGGCTTCATTCTTCTGCTGGGACCTGAAGCTTTGCAAAGCTCTTGGCAACCACCTAAGGGGAGCAAAACCCAGGTAGAGATGCCTCTAGTTTACTGGCAGGCCCAGGAGAGGAAGTAACTGGAGATGTTTGAAAAATGGTTCACCATCTCGGGGCCTCTGCAAGTCACCCTCCCACCCCCCCCCCCCAGCCTTCCACCCCTACATAAGAAAGTCAGCTGGGCTTGTTTCTGCTAAACAGCTATGAAAAGTGCCTTCAGCAGAGTATCTCTTTGGGATTTGGAAGGAGAAGGTATGAGACTCAACAAAGGAGAGTGCAAAAATACAGCATAAAAAAAATCATGGTCTGGGCAGACTTGGTTTGAGGTTTAAAAGTAAAAGAGGGTAGACAGGAAATATTAAGCAAGCAGATTAATAAAAAGTGTATGCTAAACAGGCAGCTGGCAAACAGGTTACCACGCCCCCAGCCCCAGAAATGGCAAGAATAATTTGACTTCTTTTTTTTTCTTTTTTAAAAAAGTGCTTTGCAAGACTGAATTTTCAGATCACTCCCCTTTTGAGTGTCTTGGTATTCTATTATAAGCCAAGAGTGAATTTTTTTTTTTTTAGATAAAATTTCTGCAGAGGAAGACAGGGGAGTCTGGCAGGAAATACTGGAGTCTCAATTCTTTGGCCTGCTGTTATTAAGTTCTCTAAACCAGTACCAGACATCAGACACCAAAGAACTGCTTCCTCACCAGTAGATGGACTATGGGCATCAGAAACGCTGATGAGTTATATTCTTCTTGAGACCCAGGCCAAGAAGTCACCCTCTGCCTGGGCCCCTAGTGGGCCTGGGCTCCTGACACTCAGGCCTGCTGCTTGTGCATCAACAAATTATTTGATGACCCACTGGAGTGAGCTACATTTTTTGGGAATTGTCCTGAATAATGGGCCCTATGTTACATCTCTATTACTTAAAATGAGAACTAAAGCAGTAACTCAAAAACTAATGGAAATTCTCTGAGAATTCCATGTGACCAGTATTTGGAGGAATGACCTATTCTCACTTTGTTTTCTAGGCTTTGTAGGGTCACCTGGCATAGGAAGGATTGTACTTCACCAACGACCACCAACACTACTACCCCAAAATTTTCCAAATAAGCTGCCTGAAATTCTGTCTCCACACTGGAAATATGCCAGCAATAATAAACATCCAATCAGTAATCTTATTTCTCTTCCTCCAAAATATGTACACGCATGTAATAGTGTGGCAGTGACTGACTGTCTTCCTTGCTATGTTCCAAACAGCTGCACAAAATCTAGGTTTCAGGCAATAAGACCCACTCCTCAAACATTTGGGTTGTTGTAAAGAATTTGCACCACGCCATGTAATCACACAATGCAGGTCAGCCAAGAATTTTTAAGAGCCCACTCCTTGAACTTTGCTTGGTTCATTTCCCACAGCACACCTGATGGGTGCCAAACACAGTCCTGGGTCCTGGGGTGGAAGGAGGGAGGAGGAACGGGACAAAATATGATGACAAAGACAACAAAACCCTACCTCTCTAGCAGCTGGGGCAATCCATTTTATTGCTCACACACATACGCACATAATGCATTCAACTGAACCAGGCCTCATAGCCTCCTTTTCACCCACTACTCAGACAGGAGTAATGAACATATCCTGAGAAGTTGAATAACGAGGGATCACTTCAATTTTACCGAATGCAGTTGTGAAGATGACAAGGGAGATTCGTAAACCAAAGCAAGAGGTGCACACACAGTACCCTAAATACCCGGCATATTTATCTAGATCTTTCCTTTAGCCCCTCTGTAGTGAAACCGATAATGGAAGCAGCTCCCTTTTCAGAAAAAAAGGGGAAAGGATGCAGTTGGAGCTCACCAGACCCCCCCCCCCCTCAACTTCAAGGAGCATCCAGGGACTCAGCCAGAACCACACTTGAAAGAGGCTTTCCGGGTCTAGTTCCCAGTTGAACACACAAAGAGAAAACCATGAACAATGTGTGCACTTGCGGTGGTATTTGCACTTTCTTTAACAAACTGTCTTTGGGGATGAGACTTGTCATAAAGGGCAAATTAATCATTTGGGGGTAACTGAACTGTTGTAGTGAGTTTAGCGGAAAGGTTCCCTACTGTCTTCACCCATTGTTTGGTGTCCGGTGAGAGCACAGGCTCTATGCTGGAAGAAAAGAGAACAGAAAGAATAAGGCACCAAGGATGAGATTTCCCACCAGCATTTTGTCATCTACCAGGTAGAAAACAGATGCCTTACATTTCTGTGTGTATGGGTGGACGGCTAGACGTAGAGTTAAGTTTAAAAGAGAGTAACGTTGCTTTCTGAATTCCTTATGAGTCTATCTATGTCCAGGTACTTGCCCCCAAAGAGCTTTTCATCTCTGCAAGCTTGAAATGCCAAAATGTTCATTGGGCTCGTAGATGTTAAATCCCTTGAGACAGACACCGTTTTACCAAGAGCTGCACGGGCGATGCTAGAACAAGAGAAGCGCGTCTCTGCTCAGCCAATCTCAAGGAAGTCAGGTCAGCACTGGCCCCGCCCACGCGGATCTTGGCACAGCGGTGATGTCCAGCAGCAGCTGGTGCGAAGTGCCCCCAACAGCCTAAGCTTTTGTCTAGGGAAGCCAGAAGCACTTTTACCATCACCCTACCTTGACTTCTCAACGGCCTGGGGATATTTCTAGTAAAGACACCTAGGTTGGCCTCCTGGCCCAGATCCCAGCACAGGAGCGCACAGAGATGGCCACACACACTTTGCCCCGTGCCCGGGTCGAGGGTCTGGGTGTGCAAGCTCCCGAGGGGCTGTTCCCCATAGAGACTGCCGTGCGCCCAGGGCTGAGGCTCAGCGCTGATCGGGTCATAACTGCCACGGACAGACAATGGGCACATCTGTCCTTTCTCCGAGGGATGAAAGCACCTAAACGCCGGGGTTCTGCCTTTTGTTCCGAACACCACCAGCCCCCGCCCCGCGTTTAAGCCCCACTCCCTCCGTTCCTTTGTAAATGAGAAAGTCGCCCCGTGAGGCAGCCTGCTTGAGGTCCTCACGCTTCCCCAACCGGCCCAAGAAACAGGTTCGATTCCGGATTGGAGCGCGATCGCGGGACGCGGACAATGACTCCCGAGCGGAATTGATTTTCGGAGCCGGAGGCTTCTCAACGGGCGCCGGGACGAGTCGTCTCACGCGCTCCTGGTGCAGCCTGGCCGCGAGCAGCCGGCCTCGGGGGGCTTTAGCGAGGGGGTGATGGGGACCCTGCAGAAACGGCCCGACCCTAACGGGAACCCCCCGGGGCGCTCCCCCAACACAGACACACGCACACACTCGCCCTTGGCCGAGCGGCCGCCGCCTTAGTTATCAGCTGGACAGCGGTAGGGGACCTCGAGGCACGGCCGGCCGGGCGGGGTCCCCGGCACTGAGCGCTCCTCGCCAGGGATGGGAAGAGGTAACGGGGAGCGGAGGAGGACCAGGGATGACTTGGGGGCCCGGGAGTGCCGGGTCTGCAGACCCCAGGCAGCCCAAGACCTTGAAGATAATTGCTCCCCTTCCCCGAATAAGGTCCTGCACCCGAGGGTGGGGACCGCGAGGACTCCCGGGGGAAGCCCCGGTTGGGGGCTGAGGAATGAAGCGTCGGGGCCGGCGTGAAGGAGATGAGGACGGTGACACCGGGCGACGTGCGGCGGGCTCCGCGGTGGAGCGCGACCCCCGGGATGCGATCCCCGCGAGCGCTGAGCCGGCGAGCCGGGGCGAGCGGACAGTCCGCGGGTGGCTGGCGGCGGGCCCTGGGCTGGCTCGATTCCGAGCTCCCGCACGTGGGCGCCTCGGCCCGCGTCCCCCCCCGCAGTCCCCGGCGGCCGCTCGGCAGGACCCCCGGGTGCCCCCCGCGCGCGCGGACGTCACGGGCCGGGCCGGGCCGGGGGGCGGGGCCAGAGGCGCGCCTGCGCAGAGCGCGCGGCGGGCGCGGGGCGGGCGCGGGGCGGGCGCGGGGCGGGCGGGCGCGGCGGCGCGGCGGCGGCGGCGGCGGCGGCGGCGGCGCGGCGGCGGCGCGGCGGTCCCCGACTCTGCAACAGTAGCCGGGCCATGGCTCGAGCTGGCCAGCGGCGTGGGCAGGCGGCCGCCGCCGTGGGCGCGCGGGCTGCGTCAGGGGCGCGGGGCGCCTCCCGGGCGTGAGGAGGAGCGGGCGCGGGGGCACCGGGCCGAGCAGGCTGGCGGCCCCGGGCTCGCCCCGCGGCGCGGCTGCTTGCGGGACACTCGCGTCTCTCGCCGAAGCCGAAGCCGGCGGCGGCCGCCGAGCGCAGGGCGAGCGCGCGCGGCCGGCGGGCCGGGGTGAGAGCGCGGAGCCCGCGCGCCCCTCGCCGCGTGGCCCGGCCTCATCGATGTGGGCTCCGCCGCCCGCGCGGCCGCATCACGATGAACGCGCAGCTGAGCATGGAGGCGATCGGCGAGCTGCACGCGGTGAGCCATGAGCCGGTGCCCGCGCCGGCCGACCTGCTGGCGGGCAGCCCCCACGCGCGGGGCTCCGTGGCGCACCGCGGCGGCCACCTGCCGCCCGCGCACCCGCGCTCCATGGGCATGGCGTCCCTGCTGGACGGCGGCGGCGGCGACTACCACCACCACCACCGCGCCCCCGAGCACAGCCTGGCCGGGCCCCTGCACCCCACCATGACCATGGCCTGCGACACCCCGCCGGGGATGAGCATGCCCACCACCTACACCACCCTCACCCCGCTGCAGCCGCTGCCGCCCATCTCCACCGTCTCCGACAAGTTCCCGCACCACCACCATCACCACCACCACCACCACCACCCCCCGCACCCCCACCAGCGCCTGGCGGGCAACGTGAGCGGCAGCTTCACGCTCATGCGGGACGAGCGCGGGCTGGCCTCCGTGAACAACCTCTACGCGCCCTACCACAAGGACGTGGCGGGCATGGGCCAGAGCCTGTCCCCGCTGTCCGGCTCGGGGCTGGGCGGCATCCACGGCGCCCAGCAGGGGCTCCCCCACTACGCCCACCCGGGCGCCGCCGTGCCCGCCGACAAGATGCTCGCCCCCAACGGCTTCGACGCGCACCACCCGGCGATGCTCGGGCGGCACGGGGAGCAGCACCTCACGCCCACCTCGGCCGGCATGGTGCCCCTCAACGGCCTTGCCCCGCACCACCCGCACGCCCACCTGAACGCGCAGGGCCACGGGCAGCTCCTGGGCACGGCGCGCGAGCCCAACCCCTCGGTGGCGGGGGCGCCGGTCAGCAACGGGAGCACCTCGGGCCAGATGGAGGAGATCAACACCAAGGAGGTGGCGCAGCGGATCACCACCGAGCTCAAGCGCTACAGCATCCCGCAGGCCATTTTTGCGCAGCGGGTGCTTTGCCGCTCGCAGGGAACCCTCTCGGACCTGCTGCGTAACCCCAAGCCCTGGAGCAAACTCAAGTCGGGTCGGGAGACCTTCCGGAGGATGTGGAAGTGGCTGCAGGAGCCGGAGTTCCAGCGCATGTCTGCGCTCCGCTTGGCAGGTAACGGGGTCGCGGAGCCCGCGGGCCGGGGGAGCCTGGGGGAGCCGGGACGGGGCCAGGAGGAAGCGCGGGGCCGCCCGGCCCGTCGGGGCACGGGGTTCCCTGGGCCTGGAAGAGCCGCGCCGCCGCCGCCGCCGCCGCTTCGGGCACGCGGTCACTTGCGCAGCGCCAAGCTCCGGGGCGCACCAGCCGCGGCCGTTCGGGTGTGGAAGTACGTGTGGACGCTCGCTCCCTGGGTCAGCCGTAGGGACAAGTCCCGCGCCAAGCCGGGTGAGGTCTGGGTCTCGCTTCTCAGAGGGACACTCCGTTGGAGCCGAGCAAGGCGACTGACGCGCGTTCCCAGGAACTGCGCGCAGCTGTCGCCAGCCAGCGCCCGGGGCTGCCACCTACTCCGGCTGGCGCCGAGGGGAGCTGCCCCCGCACTGCCCGCACTGTTCGGCCGTGTCTGCTCCCTCCCGCGCTCACACCCAGCTCTTGCAGGAGGGAGCGCAGAGGCCGAGGATTTCTTGGCCACCCGGCTGGTGAGCGAGCGAGCGGTGCAAGAGGTTTGCCCACGGCGCGCACAGCCCGCTGCGGTGTGGACCAGCGGCTCTCAAGTCTTTCTGCCGCGGAGTAACGGGGAGCGACCGGGCAGCCGGGACGGCACTTTCGGCCGGTGGGGCGGCTCGCTCGGAGATATCGCACTTGCTCTGATTTGTTTCGACTCCGATCTGATTTTTCTTTTCGTCTGAATCCCAGTGCAGGCGGGAAGGGGTGTGGAAATGGGCCTTAAATCATCAGGCTGAGGGCTCAGGCCCGAAGCCCACGACGTGGTTCTCCCGGTTTGAACGGAAAGGTCTTTGCTACCGGCCAATAGACAAAAAACGGTGCCGGGCATCTCCGACACGGGCCAGCACCAGCAGGATCTGCCCCTGGACTTGCAGTAGCCTGCTGGGCTGGCGGGGAGGGGAGCCAGGGGTCTCCGGCACGGACTCCTGGGTCCTGCCACCCCCCCCATCCCATCCCCACCAGAATTTCAGCTGGTGCCCCGAGCTCAGTGGCAGCGAAAACCATGGGAGAGGCCAAACGAGGGTGTTAATTAACTGGTCATTCTCTATTAATTCGTCCCGGGAGAACAAGAGACAGTCAATCCCGCCAAGCCGGGGGCACTGAGCCGTTTCACTGGCTAAAATCAAAGCGGGCGGGAACCGGGCTCTGAGCTCCTGTGACCAAAGGGAGCCAGGAACAGGCAGGGAGGTGCCCACAAGGGGCTCGCATGCACCCCTGACCCCCTCCTCGGCTTCTCATGCCCACACAGTGGAGCCCCTGCTGCCAGGAAGGGTGACTGTGTGCTGTAGGTTCCTAAGATGACACTGTCTAGTTCCAAGTGTCACTGCCCTTGTCTCCTGCACTCGAGAGGTGCTGTAGTGCGGGCCTGTGCCATGTACCCGCACCAAGGCCTGGCACAGGCACGGAGCATTGCCCCAGCAGATCCCGCCAAGGGGTGCCCCTGGGATGCACATTCCCACCCCCAGCTGGCCAAGCCCTTGCTCGGTCTTAAATAATCCTCCCCCTCCCTCCACCCTCTCCCATGCTCTCCTTAAGGATAAACAGAATTTGTCCAAAAGCAACTCCCTCACCACCTGGGCACTAGCCCTGCCTTGCAGGGGTGTCCCCTAACCTTCAGAAGAGAGCACTGCCTACCATGGAGAAGAGGCAGTAGTGGCCCGGCTTGCCCGTCCCAGAAGTGATCCTAGTGGCGCCAGCCTGGGTCCCTGGCACCTGGTCTTGGGCCCTGCTTGCCAAAGGCACCTGGCCTTTCCCTCAGCTGTGGGTGGGAGAGTCGAAAAATTGACGTCTGGCAAGTCGAGGGTTTGGCTCCAAACTTTGCCACCTTAGACCCTCTGTGTTTCCTTTCTTTGACTTAATTAGAGAGATAAGGATATAGGCCAGTAGCCAGTGCTAAGGTTATCAAACCACAATCTTTCATATATATTGGGGGGGTGCATACAGTTTTGCTCAGGGGACTCCTGGCTCAGTGCTCAGAGCCTACTTACTCCTAGCTCATGTTCAGGGGACTCTATAGGTGACAGGAATCAAATGGATTGGCAGTGCACAAGGCAAGCGCCTAAGCCCCTGTTCTATCATCCCCAACCCAGAAGACCTGTGACCTGTTTTTAAGTCTGTAGAGCATCGACTCCTCCCTTTATAAATTTTCATTTGGGAAAAGAATTAAAAAGTGGGCTTGTGTCCTGAATCTCCTCTGCATTGCCTGCAGACCTGACTATAGTCGACTTAACAATCTGACGGAGGTGCACCTCTGCGTGCTGTTGGATTGAAGAATTTCCAGGAACAGAGGGCCTGGTGGGCCAAGAGAGTGGCTTCTCCATGCTGTCCCCTGGACTCCAGACTCTGGCTGTGTCTGTGTGAACCAAAGCCCTGCCCAGGCACCAGCATGTTTGGGGAGGCACCTTCCCTTAGGAAATCACACCAGCCCGTGGAAGACAGGAATCAGGAGGTAATTCTCACCAGATTATAACAAAATCAATACATGTTACCTCATTGTAATACTTTCTGCCACCCCACTGAAGTGCAGCATAACTATTCTCAAGCTGCTTTTGGTCCCCAAGGGTTAGGTGGCCTGGGCTACTCTGGTTGGTAGGTGACTACTTCTGAAGTCAAGCTCATTAAGAAAGGCCAGAGAGAAAGTGTGGGTTAAGGCACTTGGCTTTTATGTGGCTGACCTGGTTTCAGGTCCATACCTGGCACCATGTGTTGATCACTGCCTGGAGTGACTCCTGAAAACTACTGGGGTGTCTCAAAGCTAACCCCCATCTAAAGTGCAAGATTAGCTTTCAGTTAGATTCCAGAATACTTCAGCCAGAGCAGGAGAGACCAGAGTGCCACTCTCGGGCCCAGCCCCGGGCACCCGCAGGCACCCGCAGGCACCAAGCCCAGGCTTTGGGTCAGGCAGGTACAGAGACACTCTGATCTGGTGGGGCTAGAGACCAGTGTGCTTCCCCAGGGGCAATGGCCACACTCGAGACTTCACTCCTTTTCATTCCGGGGTTTGGCCCTGAGCTGCAGTGTGGGAGAGTCCAGGCCATGAGAAAGTCTTCCTGCACCAACCTGGGCCATGTTTGCCCTAAGTGGCCTTGTGTCCTGGTTGATTGATAACTGGACCCTGCGCAAGTCCATTTGCTTTTTGTTAATATTTATCCCTGTGGGTGACATTTTGATTGTCCCTTTACTTCCCCTGGGGCATGGGACCCAGGCAGAGGGACAACCATGCTAGGCCCTAGGAAAGGACCTTCCCTGCCACTTGAACATGAGGCTGGGAGGAGCTTGGGGGGAGGGGGGAAGGTTGTTCTGGTGGTTGGGTGTGTGAAATATAGGAGCTGGGAGAGTTCCTGGGCCCAAGAGTAGGAAGAAAGGCACCGAGGGCCAGGCTTCTTCCTACCTTGACTCTGCAGGTCTCTCCAGCTCAGGAACAAATGGCCAGCAGGGTGCTGTGTGCAGGGAGCATCCTGGAAAGGCCTCTTCCCAGTGCAGCACGGTCACTGGCCAGGCAGCTCAGGGAGACTCAGGAGCCCCCCACAGACCAACAGAATAAGAACACAAAAGCTCTCAGGGTAGGAGACAAATCTCAGAAGGTTCCACCTGGGCACTTCCTTCTCACAGCCTGTGCCTGACCTCTGGAATGCACAGGACAACATCCCCTGGCCCTCCCCATGAGGGAGCACAACCCCCAGAAAACGGCCAGCATGTGGTTAGTGGGAAGTGTGCGTGGAGCCTAGTGTTTGGCGGGAGTGGTGGGGGCGCCCTGGGGCCTCCAGGCTCATGGCCCCATGATGACTCCAGTTCCAGAAGCAGATCCTGCTGGGTGCAGCGCTGTGTGAGCTCGCAGGACAGGCTGGAGCTGCCCCCCCCCCCCCCACCATCGATGCTCCTTAGCCACGAGTCCCAACTCTGCCCGTGCCCTTTTGCAACTGGACTTTGGAACAGAGAGCCCAACAATGGGTGGTAGCAGCCAAGCAGCTCCAAAACTTGAACTCTGCTTTCTTTACCTTCAGGCTCTCTCAGTAGAGAGCTGGGCCAGCTCCTCTTATCTGGGTGGGGGACAGGCTGTGTTTCATGATGGCATGCGCCCTCTGGGGGCCACCTGGGGCAAGGCACACAGCACCCCTCCTGCTTAAATCCCTTTTAGAGAGGAAACGTACTTGACTTTGTAGACAGTGATTTCCCTGAAGGTCTTCAAAATGGTAAATGTCCTGATTGGGAGAGGATCAAGGGGAGGAAGGAAGGAGGTTTACTGGATCCAGGGTCCTGCCAGTGTCTGGGTATTCCCCCGCTGCTGAGCACTGTGATGCCCTCCAAATCTAAGCTGTCCAAATGAATGAGTGTTTGGATTGGGTGGAGGAGGTTGTTGGGCCACACCTCCCGGTGCTCAGGACTTACTCCTGGCTCTGTGCTCAGGGATCACTCCTGGAGGAGCTCAGGGGCCCGATTGGGATGCCAGGGATTGATCCTGGGTCAGCTGTGTGTAAGGCAAAGGCCCTACCCACTGTACTCTGGCTCTAACCCAGTGTCTGGATTACCTATCCTGGAATTTCTTCTGTTTTTCAGAATAACAGGGTCGGGTAGAGAAAGTGCCTCTGGTGAATTGGGTAGGAGGTGAGGGGCCAGGGTGGGGTGCTGAGCTCTTTCCCTTGTTTCCTCTCTGAGCCACTGCCTGGACTCAAGAGACAGAGGGGAGACCTCGAACTGTCCCCTCCTGAGAGGCCCTGGGGGCGGAGACTGTAGACTGGTCATGGCCAGGACCCTGGACAGACACCTAAGTCATCACAGAGACTAGTCTCTCCCTTCAGCCCTGGCCGTGCAGGTGGGGGGAAGGGGTGGTGGGCCTCAGCTGCTTTTGAAGAGTTCTGGGAAGAGAAAAGTAAAAATCGTAGAGCTGATATTCCCAAGTCTGTGCCACCCCACACCGTCCCACATCCTGAGGTCCCACCTGGAATTTCCCC